TCACCATTTCCTGGCTTTTGGTTTGTGGGCTAACAGGCTTTTCCGGCTTTTCAGGCTGGGTTTGTTGTTCCTTTTGTGGGTCCGTCTCTTGAGGGACAGGGGTAGGAGATTTCTTTCCCTTTTTGGCCACTTCCCTCCACTCACTGACGGGCTGTTTGTCAGATACATCAGCCTTTTCTGTTGTTGCTACTGGGTTCGGCTGCGGTACTACTTTTTCCCAGGGCATACTTTAGACATGTGCCCCAAAGAGCCACAATAAGGACGCCTGCCCTCCACGATTATCGGCATCATCTTATCCCGGCATTTTAGAATGTTGGGGATTTCCTGAAAGGTTTGCCTTGTCAGATTTATATATAAGACGAAATCACCGGTGGCGATTCCTGCTTTGCTCATAATGGCAGACACTTCCTCAACTGGTCCATATTGTGCGAAAAAGGCACCCAGTCTGTCCTCACTAATGTCGACGGGGACTCCATGGACAGTTATTTTAGTCTGTCTAGTCCCCATATATTTGGTCTGTAAACGGACTGACTTTGTAATTAAGGTGCTTCCAGCCAACCTTTTAGCTTCTTCTTCTGTTGCCAGAAGAATGTCCCATAATGCGTTGGACCTCCTAGCTAGAATTTTTGGTCCAATCTGCAAGCTTTTCAGGGCCTCTTCCATTGTTTCCCTGCTGACACCAATAAGCTTTCGAGTTCCTACATCGATAGTCAGCAGGGAAATGGTTCTTGTCTTAACAGCATCTATTGCTCCCTGTATGGTTTAGCAACTCGTTGCCGTTCACATATTTATCAAATTTACTCCTCAGACTATTGTAGTAATCAGGGTCTTTTTTGGTCTTTTTTCAGACCAGGCCGTTTTTTCCGGCGTCACTGTATTTGGCTCTGTCATTGTGCCTCCGAACCGTCAGCCATGACGGCGAGGCCAAAAATAAATGTAGGCCCTCTCTCTCTCTCTCTCTCTCTCTCTCTCTCTCTCTCTCTCTCTCTCTCTCTCTAAATAAACTAAATAAAGTCTTGCGACTAAATAAAGTCTTGCGACTTAGAAATCGCGGGAAGGTAACAAAAGTAAACGAAAGAAAATGTACAAAACAAATTTAAAATTTCAAACTTGGCAAAACAAAATAAAAACGATGAAAAGAAAGAAATTTAACACTTTGCACAAACCAAAAATAAACGCAAATATACATTAAATGAAAAAAAGGAAAAATCAATTTAATAAACTGAAAGTCAAAAACAAATTTTAAAGCTTTCACAAAAAGAACAGAAATAAAAACGAAAATAAAAGGCTTAACTGAACAATAATCAAAAGTTCCTCGCTGGACAAACGTACAACTCGTCAAAATTCAATAAATCAACAAAAACAGAGGCTGGTCGCGACTGAAATTTGATGACTGACTGTCTAAATTGAGTCATGCGGTTATTTTTATAGACTTTTGTGTAGCAAAATCGGCTCCAGGGAACTCGGCGGGAAATAGGATTCGCCTGGAACTTTGCTACAATTTGGTGTTTATTAACCAATAGAAGATTGAATTTGCAGAAACGAGATGATGATTGGTTAAAGGCTTTTTAGAGAATAATACATCTTTCTGCCTATACAAGCCACAGGAGTCAGTTCCACAGAATTAATTGTGGGGAAGAAAATAAGAACCCTATTACTTTTACATCCAAAAAAGTTATTACCGAGATGACCTGATTTCACATGAATCAGGGAGAGAGACAAAATGGCAAAAACCAGAACGAAAAGAATTTTAACAGATTCCATAATGCCAGAAATTTACCAACTCTAAAAAAAGGGGATACATTTAGAATAAAATTAGAAAAAGAAAAATATTGGAACGATCAAGTCACCAGACACTGACAAAAGTTCGTATATTGTGGCAACTAATCAAGGATATTTACGAATAAATAGGAAACACATTTCATTTTCAGGTTTTGAAAATAGACTTTTGAGAAAGGAAATAATTAATGATCATTGCAAGTATTTTGAAACAAATAATAATACAAGAGAAACTACTGGAAACACAGACTCGAAAATATTTTTTGACTTCATAAAGTGAGTGACTTATCAAGCCTTTGACTGTAACCCAAACAAACTTTGATTTGTAATTATTTATTTTGTAATTTGGAAAAGTTAGAAATAAATTAATAAAGAAAATACATCATTTTAGGAGGAAAAATGTTTATAACAACATCAGTAATGTTGTTTATGATTATGATGCTGCTGATAGTAAGCACTTCCTGTCCAAGTAGAGAATGCTGAGAGCAAACAGATCAAGTGACGGTTTTGAATAAAATAGTTGAATTTACCACGTCTCGTGTCGTCTTTGTGTTGCTTCAGCTTTTCAGCGGCCAGTCTCATATTTTATCATTCCACTCTAAGCCCAGTAGAACAAAGTCTGTGGCGATACCTATTTTGTTATAAATAAATTAATAAATTCAAATTCATTTACTTAATCTTATTTGTCAAAAAGGGTATAATCGTCTATATTTATATGTATCCAAAAGTGTCCAACGCCCGCCTTTTAAAAGAAACTAGAGATTACATATATTTGTAGAGATTTAAAAGGCGATTATCTCCCTTTGTTAATGTGACGGCCGATTTTTCTCATCACTTCATAGGGTGACGAAAGTGGTCAGTCCTTCAGTCAGTTTCCAGGAGTCAAACAGAGCAGTTACTTCTTTTAGCTTGGCTCCCTCAGACCGAGCTGAAACTAAATCTACCTCTCTCAGCAGCTTACAAGTCTTTGGCAACACTTTCCTATATCTGTCTGTTTTCTATTTTTACCCTGTCTAACATTCCATAAACACACACACACACAAAATGTCAATAGAGACGTAAATGCAGTAGGTTATACTTAGTCCCCACCCCTAATTTATGGAAACGAGTGTAGTGGAATAAAAGTGCAATTTTCACCATAGAAAAGCTACTGACTCAAAAACTTAAAAATCTCAATCCCATGCCAACACAAGTATTGCTGATTCATCTAAAACGCATGCTAATACCCGTATTGCTCGATCTGAATCTTTTCAATAATGTAAGTATAAGAACTCGGAGGTTGTAACAAACAAGTCGTCATCCAAATCCTACAAAGATATATCCAGCCTTGGAGAAGGTTCTATCAAGTATCATAAAGTGGGTATAAAATATTATTCCCAAAATCATTGAGTTCCTGCGACAAAGTATGACTTAGGGTTGATCGAGTCAGAAAACCTTTAGAAGCACCCTATACGGGGCCCTACAAGGTTGTGACACGGTCAGCTAAACATTTCATGTTTGATATGAACAATGGAACCCATGCAATTAATATCAATTCATAGGTCAAAACCTTATATTGGGGCCTACTAAAGATAAAATAAATCGCAGAAAAACAGATGAAACAAACACAAATGTGTTGTGCCAGTGTCTAGCTGTAGTGACTACTACTATGTTTGCCACGCCTACATTTTCTCGACTGTGATTGGTTAAATAATAAATACTAATTATCACACGACAATTTACTGATCGCAGTCACCACACTGAATTTTTCCTACCGTTAATTCACAAACATGCCTTTGTTATAAAATCACCGATTGGTTATTTTTTCATCCAATCAGATATTTTTTGTGTTCTTTCAATATATATATATATACATACATACATACATATATATATATATATAGTACTACAAAAATAGCCATTTTGTTTCAACACTCCTGGTGTCTTGTCAACACCATCACTTGACAAGACATCAGAAGTGTTGAAACAAAATGACTATTTTCATAGTGATGTTATAACATGCTTATGTTATAAGTTTTTAATGAATACTATTTGCTCTACTCTATATTGAGCACTCTTTTAAGAATAGTGCTTTTGGTTATTGGAATTTTTTTTCCGTCTATACCATCCCCACATTTGTATAGAAAAAACGAAACGAACGCCAAAAAGTAAAATAATTTTGGCTAATCAAAAAAATTAACACAAAGAGACTTTTGATGTTAGTCGAAACCAAGCTTCGCGCCAGTAGTCTGGAAACCTTGTCAAAAAGGATAAAAAAACTGACAGCCCTGAAGTAGAAGCGGAGAAGAGACCTCCAGAGAAACCAGCCATGGGTGTCGCGTGAAAAAGTTATAATCGTTCATCTGCATCACATTTTTTCTCGACCTTTTTAGAGCGGAGAATAGATAGCAGATTGACGCCGTATCTATTTCTAAAATGATAACTACTACCAAGGTTTGCCACTTACACAGTCAGCTACCGAACTGAAACGGACTTTCCTCCGACTGCTACTAAAATCTCCCTTATTTTGAAACACCGAATATCAAAAGACTCACTTCTAATCTAAATTAAATAAATATATATTTGTTTATACATTTTGTTTGTCATTTTTTCCGAAGTTCCAATAAATAATACCATGAATATCTGAAAACTCTCTCCACAGCTCCACTCCCGTTGGGAAAAACCCTGTCTTTTCGTTCGCTTTTCATATTGTTTGTTGTGTAGACATGTGTTATCATTTCCTTGCGTGAGACGCGTTTAAATATGTGTATTTTTTTGTATATAACTTATCTCACTATATTTGTCATACCTTCTTTCAGCTATTCCGTTCCGTCCGTGAAATAAGGTGTTATTATATCATGGACATAATAATGACCGTAATAGGAAAAATGTAAACTCAGAGAATATTCATTTCTTCCATAACTCACCTGGTCATTATCTGGTGACTTACGATATTATTTACATCCATTGACTGGTAAAAAGACAACTACCCAATAATTGCATTGATTTAACGTTTTAACCCCATTACATTGTAGAAAATCAGATATTTTTAAAAATAAAATATGAAAATTTTTGCTCACACCTTTCACAGTATATTATATTTTTGTCCTATTACAGGTACTGTTCATATGATTTAATTAATATATTTTCAATTAGTATCTATGTCAATCCGTCTTTCGACGAAAACGATCCACTTTTTACAAGCGGCCATTACTTTATGAAATTGTAGTAGCCATAAAACAATGACGAACACAAAATTTGGTTCAAAAACAGTATTTGTAACGGTGGGAACAACAAGGTTCGACAATTTAGTGCGTCAAGTTGTTTCCGATGAAATGTGCCAGGTAACACAATGTATCTTATTTTTTTTTTTACGTAACAGTGGAAAAAAAAGAAAGAATTACATTTTTCACTCATATTGTATGTCTGTAAATAATTTTTAAATCTTTATTTTATTGAATTCGTTATCTTCCTTAAGTCCCTCTTCCCGTCATAATTAAAGATTGCAAATATTTCGTGTTTTAAAGTTTTCACTTGTTATGCATTCATTAATTTTATTTTGTAGTCATTTAAGTCTCATTTAGAAGAAATTGTAATAAAATGATGTTTTAGTTTCTGACTGATTCTTATCAAGGTTTCGTTATGAGTCGTATGAAGCTAAACTTAAAAATTATTTTTTACCCAAACATTGAAGTTGTTAAGGCGTAAAACTACCATGACAAACATAACTGCGATAGCAAGACTTGTAACCATTTTTTAATCTCTTCCTTTTCAAATGAAAAGGAAGGATTTGAAAAAACAAACAAACCGGTGTTTCAGTTATTGATTAGGTATTATTACCAAAGTTCAAAACAAAATAGATATTTTTGCCGAAATGAAAGCAGAAAGTCGCTACTACTTCGTTTTCAAAAAATTTGTTAAAAAAAAAAATCCGGATAATTCTATTTTAAACGAAATTTTCAGTACTTATTAAGAAGAAAAAACGAATTGTACTTGTAGGATTTCCTAAAACACTGAAAACGCATTTTAAATAAAAAAAAAAAGTCCTTCTTTGAACTTAAATTTCAGTTTTATTTGAAAAAAAATTAAAAAGCTAATAACAAAAAATGTAAACAAAGATGTGTTTCGAAATAAATTTATTTAAGGATTAGAAAATTTAATTACCTCGAATTCTGTTTAACGGAACGCAATCCTTATTTTTTTTATTTTTAATTAAATCATAATAAAAATAACGTTTGTTTACGCACGTTCGGTACCTCCAAAGGTTCATTAAAAAATGAGCATACATTGTTTTTAACAGCAGACTTAATGCTTCAGAAGGTCACAGTTTTATCGTCAGAATCTTTTCTTTTCTTTTTTTTAAGCGGAAAGACTAAAGGATTTTTATTTTTATTATTCTTTTGATTCTTTTTACAACCTTCGAAATTTTGGTTATGGTTTTTTTTTTGTGTCAGCGAAATACTATGGGAAATTTGCTGTGAAAAACATTGATTTGGAAATTCTAGCAAAAATCAGATAATTATCGGATTTTAATGAAACTTTTAGGACTTATTCACAGTTGAATTAAATTTAGATTACTTTAGAAACGTTACTTTTAGTTCTTTTTTTTTTTTTTTTACATAACCCTCACCCTCTCACGCACAATTTTATTTTTATGAAATTTCGAGAAATTAATTTTGGTTTTAAAGATATCCTTGCAGAATTTTTAAATACTGAAATTGAAATCTATTTTTCTTGTCAAACTCAAACAGAATCTTTAAAATCAGTTCTGAATTATAAAATAATAAAAAAATGCAATACATTAAACTAGAAAATCTATTAATTGCTCTTCTGAATATTTTTTTTCATGAATAATGAATTTTAACAAGAATATTTTTATTTTTTTTTAATTTTAGGTACTTCCCAAAGAAAAGCAATAAAATTTTAAAAAAATGCACTTTAAAAATAAAAAAATCATTCTTCTTAGCTCCATTCGATATCAAATAAATGTTTATACTTTTGTTTTGATTCTGTTTTGTTTATTCCAAAGTTTCTGTCGTCCTGAGCATGACGATAAACTACACATCAGCAGCAAGGCTTCTGATTGAGAGATTGTAAGTTTTGAGGAACATTGAACCACCTCTTAATTGCTGTTTTTCCCCTGTCCACCCTGGCATGGGGTGGTAGCACCTGTTAGGGTCCCAGCTATGGGCAAATATAGTGAACCCCTAAACAAAAAGTCAATTAATGCAACAATAAAAAAAAATATATAAATACATTTTTATAGTAAAATTACTGACAATACATTTCAGGATCTACAATATACACACACACCTTTGTTCTGAAAGTATAAAACTATATACAAAATATTTGTAGTCGAAAGCATAAAATTCCATAAAAAATATTTAGATTTCAGCTTTAATAACAATATCACTCAACTGCTACAAATTAATACAGAATTTTAAAAGTTTATAAATTATTCTAATTAAAATTTAAAAAGAATTAAATTAAAACAATTCTTGTAAACATTCATTATTCATGACAAATTTTTTTTTTAAGATAATGTTCATAATATACAGTGAGGGGGGAACACTTATTCCTACACATACAAATTTTTAATTTATTGTATTTTGAACTAATGAATAAACACTTTTAATATAATTAACTGTACACAGATGCATAATAATTAAATATGCATGGAAAACAAAAAAATTGATTTAATCCCAATAAATCCCATTTATCCATTTTAATGGGTGAAAAAAGTATTCATACAATGCAAATTTTGGATTTTAAAACTTTTAAATTGCTTGAGTACTCTAGAATGTTCCAATAATGTTATCCATAGTTATTTTTAGCCTAAAAACTACAAACAGAACATCCTGTAATTGAGAAGGTTATCATAACAGGTAAAGAATTGATAAATTTGAAAAAACAAAACAAAAAAAAAACGATTGTTAAGCTCTGGAAAGACCAATAAAAATTTGATTTAAATTCTCCTAGGACTTGTTCTTGTATCTAATATAAATGTTAAGTTAAAAAAAATTACTCGGAATTTAACAGCGGTTAAATTTTTTTTTTTTAACAATGATTTTCTAAAAAAGAAACATTTAAAAATAATAATTTGATTAATTTGTGAATATATCCTGAATGTTTTCTTAAAATCTGACAATTATTTGATTTTTGTAAGTATTTCCAAATCAGTGTGTTTTGCACCACAAAAAGACACTAAAATTTCCTATACTAATCTGTTGGTTGCTTTTTTTAAAAAAGATAATATAATTAATACTAAAAACATCCTCTTAATAACTTAGATTTTGATGATAAAAACTCAATTTTTTTTTTATGTTTGGGGGCATTTTTTCATCATGTTTGCTTCATTCTTTTAGCAAATCTTTGTGGGTGCCTATTTTAAATTTTAAAAAAGTCTGTATTAATTTGTAGCAGTTAGGTGATATTATTAAGTATGAACTGTATTCACTAATAAATGGGAAAGGTTACTACAATTCACCCACCCCCAGTACTTTAAAAAGTTATTTTTTGTGTGTGTGCATAAACATGCTGACTTTTGTAAATATGGACAGCCTTACATTATCAGAAAATAAAATAAGAGCAGTAAGTATAGTAAATTTAAAATTTATTGGTAATTTTCTAACATTTCCTCGACAAGTGTCTTTGTAAGTAATACTATAAAGCCAAAATACCTAAAATTCAATAAAATACGTTATTTTCATAATTTTTTTTTTTTAGCTTACTGGGTAGTTAAAACATTATATAAAAAAGGTGTTCACATATTTAAGTAATTCTTACAGTTATGTGCTCTTTACTTAAAAAGGCCAAACATTAAGCTATTGATAAATGTGTCAACATCCACCTATGTTAAAAATATGCTTTTCTGTTATATTTTAAACTAAAAGTAAATAATATTTGTTTTAATTCGGTTAATCCTCCTCAAATAAAGTTTAAGAAAAGTATATTTTATTTTTGAAAGATTTCTTAATTATGTTGTGTTGCTAGTTTTGTCAATATGGCCGATTTTTAGTTTTTTTTTTTTTTTTTTTTTTTTTTTTTTTTTTTTTTTTAAAAGAAAACTCATTCTATTCAATTTAAATTCAGTTAAAAATACAAAGTATTTTGCTTCTTGAAAACATTAAATTTAATCTACTGGTTTGGAATCAAAACTAAAATAGAAGCTTCAAGAATGCTTTCTTTTCCCGCATTAAAATGCATTTTAAACTTTAGGTATTGCTTTATTTATTTATTGTTTAGGTACCTGCTATAAATTAATAAATACCGTGTTCAATCCCCTCATAAAAAGTACATGAAAAAATTAAAAGGAATTTTTAAAAAATTTACTTGTCATTTCTCTGTGATTTTGAAATTTATCCCATTGCTGTTTGTAACATCAGTTCTTTTTATGAAATAGACATGTTTGAAGACTTGAATAATGTGAAGTTTAATGCCATTTTCAAGTGAAATTTTATTTTATTTTATTTATTTATTTTTTTTTTTTTTAAGAATCTTGATATTTTCATTTTAGCAACTTTTTGTATGGAAGTTCAAATAGGAAATTATTCTGATTTAACATCTTTGACTATTCTATCTTATAGGAAGAGTGATATGTCAATTAAATTAGAACTCGTTGGGTGCAAATAAATATTTATGTCATCAAACAGGAAAGAAAATAATCAAAAAAATAAAAGTAATGAATTAAAGCTAAAGTAATAAAGCATAAAAATAGAAAATTATTGTTGTTCACCGCTGTATATAAATAAATGTTATTTTTACTATGTAAATGTTGGCCAACAATGGTAATTAACCCTAGTATCATAAACACCAATCCAGCAACGGATATGGAGAATCCAGCAACAGCTATAGGAACAATGTGGTGTTAAATAAATTTTGTAAAATAATGTTTACTTTTTGCTTTTAAGCAAAAAGTAAACATTGTTTTACAAAATTTAGTATATGTATCATCCAACCCTTGCCTTTTAGTTTGCTAACACCACATTGTTTCTATAGCTGTTGCTGGATTCTCCATATCTGTTGCTGGATTGGTGTTTATGATACTAGGGTTAATTACCATTGTTGGCCAACATTTACACACATAGTCAACATGTCAGATTATGTGTTCATTCAACAGTCTCTCATGTTCCAAAATGTGCTTTGCCCATTTCTCTACTACCCCATTTTTCTGAGTATTGAAGGTGTGCACTAAGACCAGATCTACAAAATCTCTCTTTGTATGTTGAGTTTACCTTTCTTTGACTGCTGCTTGTTTTTCATGTGTAATTGTAGATCTGGATGAACCCTACTGAGTCTTATCAGTTTTCTTTTCATCAGCAGTTCAGCTGGTGATAGTCTAGCA